TTGAGCCATCCTTTGTGCCTTGGGCTGTGTTTTTTTGGTCATTGTCATGCTGGAATACCCATCCACGACCCATTTTCAATGCCCTGGCTGAGGGAAGGAGGTTCTCACCCAAGATTTGACGGTACATGGCCCCGTCCATTGTCCCTTTGATGCGGTGAAGTTGTCCTGTCCCTTAGCAAAAAACACCCCCAAAGCATAATGTTTCCACCTCCATATTTGACGGTGGGGATGGTGTTCTTGGGGTCATAGGCAGCATTCCTCCTTCTCCAAACACGGCGAGTTGAGTTGATGCCAAAGAGCTCCATTTTGGTCTCATATGACCACAACACTTTCACCCAGTTGTCCTTTAAATCATTCAGATGTTCATGGCAAACTTCAGACGGGCATGTATATGTGCTTTCTTGAGCAGCGGGACCTTGCGGGCGCTGCAGGATTTCAGTCCTTCACGGCGTAGTGTGTTACCAATTGTTTTCTTGGTGACTATGGTCCCAGCTGCTTGTGTAGTTCTGGGCTGATTCTCACCGTTCTCATGATCATTGCAACTCCACGAGGTGAGATCTTGCATGGAACCCCAGGCCGAGGGAGATTGACAGTTCTTGTGTGTTTCTTCTATTTGCGAATAATCGCACCAACTGTTGTCACCTTCTCACCAAGCTGCTTGGCGATGGTCTTGTAGCCCATTCCAGCCATGTGTAGGTCTACAATCTTGTCCCTGCCATCATTGGAGAGCTCTTTGGTCTGGCCATGGTGGAGAGTTTGGAATCTGATTGATTGATTGCTTCTGTGAACAGGGTCTTTTATAAAGGTAACAAGCTAAGATTAGGAGCACTCCCTTAAGAGTGTGCTCCTAATCTCAGCTCGTTACCTGTATAAAAGACACCTGGGAGCCAGAAATCTTACTGATTGAGAGGGGATCAAATACTTATTTCCCTCATTAAAATGCAAATCAATTTATAACATTTTTGACACGCGTTTTTCAGGATTTTTGTTGTTGTTATTCTGTCTCTCACTGTTCAAATAAACATACCATTAAAATTATAGACTGATCATTTCTTTGTCAGTGGGCAAACGTACAAAATCAGCAGGGGATCAAATACTTTTTTCCCTCACTGTAAATATTCACGCAGTTTCTATTTTCATTTTTGTACCAGGCCAAGCCGGCTTGAGCTGCTCTACCACTCTTGTTCTCAGAAGCTACCTGCCACAACGCAAGGTGAGGCTTTGTGAACTTGTGTGTGAATGTGTGGACTTAAAACTTTCGTGACTGCAGGAATTCATATTCTTGGTTCTTTCGGTAAAGTCACTTAGACAGAAAATTTAATAAAAATAACAGATGATGAAATAAAAATTATAAAATTGTAAATAAAGAGAAAAAACACGACGTTTCGATCGCAACACAAGTGGTCTTTATTTTATTTAATTTTATTATCTATTATTGATATTTTCTACCTACGTAACTTTACCGAAGAACCAAGAAACGTGTGGAAATGTGTATCGGTCAAAGACGCTAAACGCGTACTGATGTTGACTCTAAATGTGGAGGGCAAACCGGGGAATCGGAGGAAAATCCACGCGACCACGGAGAGAGAGACACGCAAACTCCAAATATACAGCAGCAGCAGGCGCCAGGGCCGGGATCGAACCCACGACTTCCTGTACACCAGGTGAGGTAGTTAACCATCTCACCACGGAGAGAGAGAAACACGCAAACTCCAGTTAGCCTCGGCTATGTTGATTGATCCTCAATTAATTACTTGGTGGAGTGAGGAATCATTTATTCTGAGCAGATGAAGGTGGCCAGGCATGGGTCTGGACACACCACCACCTGTGAACCATGCCAGTGTGTGACAGTGTCAAGTTTGTGTTTGCAGTAAAGTCTATAACTCTATTGAACACAGAGGTTATATCACAACAATAGTTTATTTTTGTTTTCCTCTGGAACTCTTTGTAAGAATGGAAACAGGAAGTTAACACAGCACACACGTGCAGCTGAAAGTCGGATCTGTCATCCCAGCCTTCAAGGACATCTGAGCCTGGATTCACACCTGAGTTGCGATTGAACATGAATTTATGCATTTCTGCATAACACAAATAGAATTGTTTTAACACCCTTTGCAATGTCAGCTGAATTTAGCTTTTATACATATTCCTTTTGTAGCCAGACAGCCGAAATTGTGTGCTCGGAGTTTTGGGTTAACATTCATTTTTAAGATACGAGGGCTCCCAGGCATATTTATGACCACTTGCCCTCTCATTGTGTGCCATTACAGCCCGTGTGATGAATTTGAGAAACGTTTTTACTACATAATGAATATATGAATAAGTATAGACGTGTAAGTCACGTGTGACTGTACGTATGCGTTCTTCTGTGCATAGATACCGGAGTGGATATATTCTTAGGTTTTTTCGGTAAAGTCACGTAGGTAAAACATTTTAATTAATAAAAGTAAAATAAAACAAATTAAAAAATTGACGACGTTTCGGAAGCAACACAAGCCTCCGTCTTCAGGTGGAAACGTCACAGCCACGACAGCTGTATTTTTTTGTATTTCTTTTTTTACTTGATACAGCTGTCGTGGCTGTGACGGTTCCACCTGAAGACGGAGGCTTGTGTTGCTTCCGAAACGTCAATTTTTTAATTTGTTTATTTTTACTTTAATTTAATTTTTTTACCTACGTGACTTTACCGAAAAAACCTAAGAATATGAATCCTTGCAGTCACGAAAGCTTCAAATCTAGAATGGTGTGGATATTCCTATTATCTGTCTGCAGCTGACGCTTCCTTCGACGCTTCCTCTGCAGAATTGGTCTGATGGAGCAAAGGCAGTCAGCACAGCTCGGTACGGCAAGGCAACAATGCGACCAGAGTGCATACAGCACGGAGCGCACTGGAAATTTGACACAGCACCAGAGAACACACACAGGAGAGAAACGTTTCAAGTGCACTGTGTGTGGGAAGGCCTTTGCAAAGTCACGTAATCTTGTAATACACCAGAGAACACACACGGGAGAGAAACCCTTCAAGTGCAGTGTGTGTGCGAAGGCATTTTCTCATTCATCTGTTCTTAAAAAACACCAGAGAACACACACAGGAGAGAAACCCTTCAAGTGCAGTGTGTGTAGCATGGCATTTTCACGGTCATCTTCTCTTAAAAATCACCATAGAACACACACAGGAGAGAAACCCTTCAGGTGCATTCTGTGCGGGAAATCCTTTGCAAAGTCACATAATCTTGTAATACATCAGAGAACACACACGGGAGTGAAACCTTTCAGGTGCACAATTTGCGGGAAGGCGTTTGCACAAGCATCTGTTGTTCAGACCCACCAGAGAATACACACAGGAGAGAAACCCTTCAAGTGCACTGTGTGTGGGAAGGCATTTTCACTGTCATCTTCTTTTAAAAAACACCAGAGAACACACACGGGAGAGAAACACTTCAAGTGCAGTGTGTGTGGGAAAGCGTTTGCACATTCATCTACTCTTGTAAGACACCAGAGAATACACACGGGAGAGAAACCCTTTAAGTGCAGTGTGTGTGCGAAGGCATTTTCACTGTCATCTGTTCTTAAAAAACACCAGAGAACACACACAGGAGAGAAACCCTTCAAGTGCACTGTGTGTAGCATGGCATTTTCACAGTCATCTGATCTTAAAAAACATCAGAGAACACACACAGGAGAGAAACCCTTCAGGTGCTTTCTGTGCGGGAAGGCGTTTACACGGTCAGAACATCTTCAAAGACACGAGAGAACGCACACGGGAGAGAAACACTTCAAAATTCACGACGTGACTTTACCGAAAAAACCTAAGAATATGAATCCTTGCAGTCACGAAAGCTTCAAATCTAGAATTGTCGGTAATGTTTAGAATTATCTACATTTTGACTCAAGACGCAATCATGCAATGGCCTACTCGTTTTGAATGACACAATAGTATGTTTTACATCCACTGTTAAGCAGACGGTGCATAATTATTTAAAATAGCTTAATACGATGTAACCTGGTGCAGTATATTTCACTGCAGTAATTACATTTTGTTAAAATGTAAAATGTCTGTCAATAATTTAGAATGAACACTGATTTTGTGTACATGCAACATTTTATTTACAAGGGTCAAACATTGAATAAGTGATGTTAGGACAAAGTGTGTGTTTTTGGAAGTAACCTGTACAGATAACTCAGGTGAGACCCGTTGTTCTTGTGATACAGCTCAAGGGTAGTTTTAAATCCTTTATATTAAGTTCACTTGCTTGCTTACGACCGTGCAAATCTTTCGGTCATTTTTAACCCACTTCCCGTGATCCAATCGAGCTGACATTTTGCACACAGACTCGTTGTGCGTGCCAATTAATGTTCGTGAAATTTTTTTTCAAAAATTTTACACTGTTTATGGAAATTTTTAAAAATATTTAATTACCAATTGCTTAATGGTGGCAGACAATCATCTGACCCATAGGTGGCAGCCATCTCAAGCCAGAGGACGAGAGGACTCTAGCCGCCACGCATATAAAGGATTTATAGTGAAAAACTTTGTTTTTACGGGTTATACTTGTTTAAATCCTTTATATTAAGTTCGCTTGCTTGCTTAGGACCGTGCAAATCTTTCGGTCGTTTTTTAACCCACTTCCCATGATCCAATCGAGCTGACATTTTGCACACAGACTCGTTGTGCGTGACAATTAATTTTCGTGAAAAATTTCCAAAATTTTACACTGTTTAGGGATTTTTTTTTAAATATTTAATTACCAATTGCTTAATGGTGGCAGACAATCATCTGACCCATAGGTGGCAGCCATATCAAGCCAGAGGACGAGAGGACTCTCGCCGCCACGCATATAAAGGATTTATAGTGAAAAACTTTGTTTTTACGGGTTAATTTTTTGTGTTTCCGGAAGCATTTGTCTCTGGAGCAACTCATCGTCTTTGAAATAGGGAGCACGCTCGGATTATTTAATTATGTTTAATTTTTATTATGGTATTACTTCCCTTCTACGTGATGACTTTACCGAAAGAACCAAGAAGATGAATCCCTGCAGTCACGAAAGCTTTAAATCGAGAACATTTACCTAATTAGCGCGTTGATTTTTGTGTTCGTTTAAGCGCCCGTCTTGATTGCAACACGCGTAGCGTTCCACGTATCGGCGCTATATTTAATTAATAAATAACCCCGCCTCCCTCTCTAAAGCACACAGACCAATTCTGACCTTATTGGTCACCCCGTGCCCTTATACATCTGTAGTGACATAAGAAGGGAGGGGCTGCTGGGGGCTCTGGGTTCCCGGGCGGGTCCAGACGCTTAAGCCTCTGGGCGCCAGGCGCTGGGTTCCCAGGGGGTCCAGACGCTTAAGCCTCTGGGTGCCGCCAACGGGGGGGGGGCTGTGTGTGCTCTGTGGGATGTCTGGTGGCGCACACGGCCCCACCCCTCGTTGGACCAGGCATAAAAGGGGAGCTCCCTGGACGATCGGGGCCCAGTTGTAACTCAAGACCCAAGACCCACGACCAGCCATCTGAAGACCCTGGGATGCTGTGAGAGCCAGTGCTGGGACTCTGGAACTCCCGACTCTACGACCTTGTGAGGGCGAGTTCCGGAGCGTAGCCAGAGTAGAGTATCTAGGCTGTGTAGCTAGGCTGTGTACCTTGGCTTTAACAGAGTATCAGGACTGTTGGGAGTACTGTTGGAGTGTTGTAATAAAGAAGTTACCTCTACAAGTGTGTGTGTACACTGTGTACACACACACAGTGTACACACACAATGTACACACACTCACTGTGTACACACACATAGTGTACACACACAGTGTACACACACAGTCTACACACTCACTGTGCACACACACAGTCTACACACTCACTGTGTACACACACACTCACTGTGTACACACACATAGTGTACACACACAATGTACACACACACACAGTGTACACACACACTCACTGTGTACACACAGTATACACACACAATGTACACACACACACACTGTGTACACACACAATAATGTCCACGTTGTAGTTTCTGAGCTCACGCACCCAAGGGGTCTCTGTTCAAGAGATGGAGCAATGGAAATTTAATCTAAAAACTTTAACTCCAATCCAGCTTTGTGACGTCACCCTGCACCGCGCTCTTGTGCGTGACGTCACCTCCGCGATGGTCACTGCTGAATCTGTGGGAGGGGACTGTCTTGTATCCCGGAAGTGACGTTATGTCACTTTCTGCTGCCGCGTGACGTCACGAGGTAACAGAAAGCTGCCCGCTCCGCGCTTTTTCTGAAATCTGAGGTGATAAATTCTTGTGGTGGTTTGTGGTTGTTGTTGTTTACCAAGGTAGAGCCTCTCGTAGGGATGTCAATTGAGCAGCATTGGAATCGATGTCCAGGTTGGAACATTACAAGGCGCGGCCTGGCGACGCGGGGCCTTGCCTCCTGCCCTCGCCTGAGTTAGTTTAAATTAATGTGTCTTCACGCGGCTCGCCACTTTGTAACTCTGTTTTATTGTTACAGTGAGGGGACAAGTATTTGATCTAAATTTAGATTTAAAGCTTCTTTCGTGACTGCAGGGATTCAATTTCTTGGTTCTTTCGGTAAAGTCGTCACGTAGAAGGGAAGTAATAATATAATAAAAAATAAAACATAAAAATAATTATATTACTATTATATTATTTCATTGTTTTATTTTTGTTGTTTTATTACTTACCTTCTACGTGACTTTACCGAAAGAACCAAGAAAAAGTATTTGATCCCCTGCTGATTGTGTACGTTTGCCCACTGACAATGAAATGATGAGTCTATAATTTTAATGGTAGGTTTATTTGAAGTGAGAGACAGAATAACAACAACAAAATCCAGAAAAACGCGTCAAAATGTTATAAATTGATTTGCATTTTAATGAGGGAAATAAGTATTTGACCCCCTCAGCAAAACATGACTTAGTACTTGGTGGCAAAACCCTTGTTGGCAATCACAGAGGTCAGACGTTTCTTGTAGTTGGCCACCAGGTTTGCACACATCTCAGGAGGGATTTTGTCCCACTCCTCTTTGCAGATCTTCTCCAAGTCATTAAGGTTTCGAGGCTGACGTTTGGCAACTCGAACCTTCAGCTCCCTCCACAGATTTTCTATGGGATTAAGGTCTGGAGACTGGCTAGGCCACTCCAGGACCTTAATGTGCTTCTTCTTGAGCCACTCCTTTGTTGCCTTGGCCGTGTGTTTTGGGTCATTGTCATGCTGGAATACCCATCCACGACCCATTTTCAATGCCCTGGCTAAGGGAAGGAGGTTCTCACCCAAGATTTGACGGTACATGGCCCCGTCCATCGTCCCTTTGATGCGGTGAAGTTGTCCTGTCCCCTTAGCAGAAAAACACCCCAAAAATATAATGTTTCCACCTCCATATTTGATGGTGGGGATGGTGTTCTAGGGGTCATAGGCAGCATTCCTCCTCCAAACACGGCGAGTTGAGTTGATGCCAAAGAGCTCCATTTTGGTCTCATCTGACCACAACACTTTCACCCAGTTGTCCTTTGAATCATTCAGATGTTCATTGGCAAACTTCAGACGGGCATGTATATGTGCTTTCTTGAGCAGGGGCCCCTTGCGGGCGCTACAGGATTTCAGTCCTTCACGGCGTAGTGTGTTACCAACTGTTTTCTTGGTGACTATGGTCCCTGCTACCTTGTGTAGTTCTGGGCTGATTCCTCACCGTTCTCATGATCATTGCAACTCCACGAGGTGAGATCTTGCATGGAGCCCTAGGCCGAGGGACATTGGCAGTTCTTGTGTGTTTCTTCCATTTACGAATAATCTCACCAACTGTTGTCACCTTCTCACCGAGCTGCTTGGCGATGGTCTTGTAGCCCATTCCAGCCTTGTGTGGGTCTACAATCTTGTTCCTGACATCCTTGGAGAGCTCTTTGGTCTTGGCCATGGTGGAGAGTTTGGAATCTGATTGATTGCTTCTGTGAACAGGTGTCTTTTATACAGGTAACAAGCTAAGATTAGGAGCACTCCCTTTAAGAGTGTGCTCCTAATCTTAACTCGTTACCTGTATAAAAGACACCTGGGAGCCAGAAATCTTTCTGATTGAGAGGGGGTCAAATACTTATTTCCGTCATTAAAATGCAAATCAATTTATAACATTTTTGACGCGTTTTTCTGGATTTTTTGTTGTTATTCTGTCTGTCACTGTTCAAATAAACTTACCATTAAAATTATAGACTGATCATTTCTTTGTCTTTCTTTCTTTCCCTCACTGTAAATATTTATGCAGTTTTTCATTTTTTTTACCAGGCCAAGCCCGCTTGAGCTGCTATACCGCTCTTGTTTTCAGAAGCAACCTGCCCACAACGCAAGGTGAGGCTTTGTGAACTTGTGTGTGAATGTTTTGACTTAAAACTTTCGTGACTGCAGGAATTCATATTCTTGGTTCTTTCAGTGAAGTCACTTAGATAGAAAATTAAATAAAAATAACAGATAATAAAATAAAAATTAGAAAATTGTAAATAAAGAAAAAAAACCCACGACGTTTCGATCGCAACACAAGTGGTCTTTATTTTATTATATTATCTATTGATATTTTCTATCTACGTAACTTTACCGAAAGAACCAAGAATACGTGTGGAAATGTGTATCGGTCAAAGACGCTAAACTCGTGCTGATGTTCACTCTAAATGTGGAGGGCAAACCCGGGGAATCCGGAGGAAAATCCACGCGACCACGGAGAGAGAGACACGCAAACTCCAAATATACAGCAGCTGGCGTCAGGGCCGGGTTTGAACCCACGACTTCCTGCATACCAGGTGAGGTAGTTAACATCTCACCACGGAGAGAGAGAGACACACAAACTCCAGTTAGCCTCGGCTATGTTGATTGATCCTCAATTAATTACTTGGTGGAGTGAGGAATCATTAATGCTGAGCAGATAAAGGTGGCCAGGCATGGTTCTGGTCAAAACACCACCTGTTTACCATGGCAGTGTGTGACAGTGTAAAGTTTGTGTTTGCAGTAAAGTCTATTAACTCTGTTGAACACGGAGGTTATATCAAAACAATAGTTTATTTTTGTTTTCCTCTGGAACTCTTTGTAAGAATGGAAACAGGAAGTTACCACAGCACACACGTACAGCTGAAAGTCGGATCTGTTCATCCCAGCCTTCAAGGACATCTGAGCCTGGATTCACACCTGAGTTGCGATTGAACATGAATTTATGCATTTCTGCATAACACAAATAGAATTGTTTTAACACCTTTTGCTATGTCAGCTGAATTTAGCTTTATAAATATTCCTTTTGTAGCCAGACAGCCGAAATTGTGTGCTCGGAGTTTTGGGTTCACATTCATTTTTAAGATACGAAGGCTTCTAGGCATATGTATGACCATTTGATCTCTCTTTGTGTGCAATAACAGCCCGTGTGATGAATATTGGGAAACTGTTTCACTACATAATGAATATATGAATAAGTATAGACGTGTAAGTCACATGTGACTGTATATATGCATTCCTCCGTGCCACGATACTGACTTGATGATGGTGTGGATGTTCCTATTATCTGTCTGCAGCTGCCGCTTCCTCTGACGCTTCCTCTGCAGAATTGGTCTAATGGAGCAAAGGCAGTCAGCACAGCTCGGTACGGCAAGACAACAATGCGACCAGAGTGCATACAGCACGGATTGCACTGGAAATTTGACACAGCACCAGAGAACTCGCACAGGAGAGAAACCCTTCAAGTGCACTGTGTGTGGGAAGGCCTTTGCATGGCAATCAGTTTTTCAGACCCACCAGAGAGCACACACAGGAGAGAAACCCTTCAAGTGCAGTGTGTGTGGGAAAGCGTTTGCACATTCATCTTCTCTTGTAAGACACCAGAGAACACACACGGGAGAGAAATCCTTCAAGTGCAGTGGGTGTGGGAAGGCATTTTTACATTCATCTGCTCTTGAAAGACACCAGAGAACACACACGGGAGAGAAACCCTTCAAGTGCAGTGGGTGTGGGAAGGCATTTTCACATTCATCTGCTCTTGAAAGACACCAGAGAACACACACGGGAGAGAAACCCTTCAAGTGCAGTGGGTGTGGGAAGGCATTTTTACATTCATCTGCTCTTGAAAGACACCAGAGAACACACACGGGAGAGAAACCCTTCAAGTGCAGTGGGTGTGGGAAGGCATTTTTACATTCATCTGCTCTTGAAAGACACCAGAGAACACACACGGGAGAGAAACCCTTCAGGTGCACTTTGCGGGAAGGCGTTTGCACATTCATAAAATCTTCATCTACACCAGAAAACGCATAAGCATCAGAAGATCTGCAAGGAGTGGAGTCTGAAATTGGCTTGTGAGCCCATCCCTCGTGAAACAAGAACTGAAGGAAAATCCCAGATTTGACACTTAAAGGAATCGAGGTGAAATGTGAAGAGGTGATGGTGAAGAGCGAAGAAGTGAAGAGTTGAAAACTCAGTTCCTAGGTTCAACCTGCAGAGTAAGAGCGACGGGCCAGTCTTTGTGGACCTGTTGGCTGGGTAGATCCCTGATCAGAAGCGAGAACGACCGCTTGTCTTACGATCGAAACTTTGTGATCTATTATTTTTTTTTCTACCTACGTGACATTACCGAAAGAACCAAAGAGTATGTGATTTAGGAATAAAATGTAAAATAATTTAAAATAAAATATATACGCCTGCAAAGAGACTGGAGGCTGAATCTAACAACTTAGACCACTCAACCACACTACGCACAGGATGCCCTTGGCGACCAAAGCCCGCTTGATTTCGCCAACGCCGGCCTTTTCCCGCCGGCGGTTTGTACAGCACGATAATTTTTAGATATTAAGAAAAAGGTTTAAAGTACATTTTATTGCATTTCTTGAGGGAAATTAGCCCCCCTTTTGCCTCACAAAGTGAGTGCAAACCTCACCGATCGTGTGTTTTAGTTTGTTTACGTTATTTTGCCGCTAGAAATTTCCACGTGAATCAGCGATGATGATGATATCAGCCACTTTGTTAAGCTGGTGTCATTTGAGATAGCCAGGTTGCTTATGAAAAAGAAGCTAATAGTCTTCTTGGTTCTTTCTGTAAAGTCACGTAGAATTTTCTCCTCGACAGACCTGTTGTCCGCCTGAGGACGGCTACTTGCGTTGTGGCCGAAACGTCGTTTTATCGTGTTTTATTTTTCGATTTAAAGCTTTCGTGACTGCAGGGATTCATCTTCTTGGTTCTTTCGGTAAAGTCACGTAGAAGGGAAGTAATAAAATAATAAAAATAAAACATAATAAAATAATTATCACGACGCTCCAAGCTTGGTGGTGTTTCATTCTTCACCTGAGGACGGCTGCTTGCGTTGTGGCCGAAACGTCGTATTTTATTGTTTTATTTTTATTATTTTATTATTTCCCTTCTACGTGACTTTACTGAAAGAACCAAGAAGGTTATTATGTTTTATTTATATAATTTTATTATTTCAATTCTACGTGACTTTACCGAAAGAACCAAGAAGATGAATCCCTGCAGTCACGAAAGCTTTAAATCGAAAAAGAAGCTAATAGCTTATTACGCTTTACCTGGTACAATAAATAAAGTGGAGTTTGTGTTTAATATATGCGTCTTGTTGAGGCTGCTGGCCCCCGGGTCCTCCCCCGGCGGAGGGTTGATCTCGGGGGAAGGGGGGGGGGCTGCTGCCTCCTGACTCCTCGCTCACTCGTGTGAGAGCCGCTGCTGCCACTCTCCGGCTCCTCGAGTCCGCGAGTCCTGTCTGTGGGGCACGATTCGGGGCTGGCGCTCGGCTGCCTGCAATTAATTCTTTGCTCCTCACTCGCACTCCTCCCAACGTTGGTAGAAGACTCTCTGCACGCCACGGCCCACACTCGTATACGCGCAGGCACTCAAACTCACAACCACACGCACCAATCACGTGCGGAATGGGGGTCAGGGGTCAAAGGGGCAATGACGTCACTCGCACACACGTGTTGCCGATTGGGGGGTTGTATTTGAGATGATTTAAAGGGCTGTGGGGCGGGTGTTCGGGATTGGTTTTAGAACAAGTGTTGCTGTGTACTGGGGAATTAAAGAAATGCTTTAATCGTCCTCCGGCCCCTCTGCGCAGTGATGAGTAACTGGCGACAGGATTCACGCATCACGCTCGGGCACAATCTAAACAATGGTCGTATGAATAATCCCACGTGTATTCTTAGGTTTTTTCGGTAAAGTCACGTAGGTAAAAACATTAAAAAGTAAAATAAAATAAAAAATCACGACGTTTCGGAGGCAACACAAGCTTCCGTCTTCCTCTGAAACGTGATTTTTATTTTATTTTACTTTTTAATGTTTTTACCTACGTGACTTTACCGAAAAAACCTAAGAATATGAATCATTGCAGTCACGAAAGCTTCAAATCTAGAATCCCACGTGTACTCGTGCAATCCTACCGTCGCTCACCACGTGCACCCACTAACAGCACAGCGCAAGCGTAACGATAACCGAATCGAGGGTAAGATTCATGCGTTAACCCGTCGTTCACACCTATGCCCACACCACTCCCAGCACTCCTCAACAGAGCCGGCCCAGCCACTAAGCGACCCTTGCAATTGCAAAGGGCCCCGTGGCCAGCAGAGGGCCCCCTAGAGTCACTGCTAGCTAGTGGGTCAAAAAAATCATACATCAAAGGAGCCTCCAACCAAATTTTGCTTAGGGCCCCCTAAGGTCTAGGGCCGGTTCTGCTCCTCAATACCACAGAGACCACACAGCGTCGGCATCCTATGCTTTAGGGTTTATTTCCGGCGCATCTGCGAGTCACTATTACCTGAATCAGAGTCTGAATCAGCAGGGTAAGGCTAGCCTATCTCCCGACGGTCTAAACCCGACCTACCGCGTCTATTTCGAATTAATCTCCCTAGGCTTTTATGCTAACTCGCAGCTCTCTCTCTCTCGCGTACTCGTTGTTCGGCTCGGATGTGCACGAAGCTCTCACTGGGAGCGGGGCCTGGCTGCGCTGATACTCGTCACACGTACGATCCAGTGCCTGGCAAGCTGACTGCTCCGATCGCTGACTTGAGAACGCGAACTGATAAGAGTGCCCTCCCTTTTATCCCCCTCTACATCAAAGAATCCCTTGGTTAACCCGCGATCCTTCACGGCCATTGGTGGGCCGTATCGGTGCTTTCAGCGACGTCCGCACCCAGGCTTCCACATCAAAGGGACTGCCGCTAAGCTCCCGACCAATCAGAGTGCCTGCCCTGGTTCGTGGCTCACATATTAACGATCCGTACCAAGGAAGACAACAATGCACCTCACAACCCGTATCCGTGCAGAGAGACAGTCTATGCAGTACGTACAGTCCACACATCGCGATCGCGAGAAAAGCCCCATACAATAAACACATCGTTACGAAATGTGGCACATCGCAATCACAACAACAACAAAAACAAAAACTAGATCTGATCAACAAAATAAACCGACGTCACACTGCGAGCTAATAACACGGCAACCCACGGGACATTAAAGGGCCTCGGGACACTCGACACAACCGAATTAATCATTAACTGCCCCCTCAAGATAACGATCCCGATGCCATAACCGTACACGTAATGAGAGCCATGTATGACTCACGTGGCGATCGGCTTGCCGGTCCCGCTTTGTAGCCAATGAGGGGAGAGCCCGGGAGCATGATCTCGGCGTGATCACGGCATGTTAGCTAAGGTGATTGGCTTGGCCGATCTTGGCCTCAGCTAATGGGAAGCCGGATCAGAGGCGTGGTCCCGGGAGTTGACGGGGAGTGATCTGGAGTGTTCGACGCTGACTACTGGAGATTGGCTTAGGGGTACCACGTGACCGAGGGGTTAAGAGGGGGAGAGACGGAGGAGTCGGGAGCAGACCTGGGAACGAAGGGAGCAGGAGCCACGCGCGTACGGGGCTCTGGGTGCCACGTGAGCGGTGCGACTTTGCTGGCTGTCTGCCCGCTTCCCGTTGCCTGCCAGCAACGGGGAGTGTGTGTAAACTGTGGAAGTGGAAAATAAAGGACTGATTCCAGAAGTCGTCTCGAGAAGGTTTATTACACACACACACAATAAGTATAACCCGTAAAAACAAAGTTTTTCACTATAAATCCTTTATATGCGTGGCAGTGAACTTAATATAAAGGATTTAAAAACATTCGCCTGTGGAGGACGCGGGGATCGATCCCGCGACCTTTGGCATGGGAAGCGAGGGCGCTACCAACTGCGCTACTCCGCCACGGCCTGTGGAGGGGTTACGCTCTGGGCTCTTATACTGTGACGTTCAACCAAAGCCAAGAATGAGTTCTATTTGAATATATGTAAAATAATTTTTTTTTGCCTAAAAAGTGTAAAATTTTTGGAATTTTTTTTTCAACGAGTCTGTGTGGAAAATGTCAGCTCGATTGGATCACGGAAAGTGGGTTAAAAAACGACCGAAAGATTTGCACGGTCGTAAGCAAGCACGCAAGCAAGCAAGCGAACTTAATATAAAGGATTTAAAAATGGCACAGCACCCCGTGAGCACGGACGCCGCGTTCATTCTACACTCGCACAGGCAGAAAAACCAGTAGTCCAGCTCTGCGAGCAACAAAAAACCGCAAAAGTAACCCGGCGTGCGTAAGATGGGCGAGGTGTGTTGTTAGGGCCGGGTGCATTGTGTCACGACTCGCCTGAGAGACTGTGAGGGACGGAGGATGGCAGGGTGGAACTTGAAGAATCTTAGATGGTGAGCACGGCATCCCCCTGTGAGCCAATATGAAACCTGTCGTCTTAAAAAGGTCCTTGGGACTGAGAATGACTTCTACGGATAAATAATGACATTTTTTGTTATCGAACCCACACTAAGATGTCTCAATAATAATGACGATATATCTCTTTGCCAAACCACCATTGGGTGAAGACATTCCCATACTGCGTTGGTCATCATAGGGGTTGTTTCACCATACTTCACCAGACTGGTCAGTGTGGGTTGATGCAAGAGGACAACCAGGACCGATTCAGAAGTGCCTCGGCAACTTCCCCGCTCCTTTTTAAATCCTTTATATTAAGTTCGCTTGCTTGCGTGCTTACGACCGTGCAAATCTTTCGGTCGTTTTTTAACCCATTTCCCGTGATCCAATCGAGCTGACATTTTGCACACAGACTCGTTGTGCGAGACAATTAATGTTCGTGAACATTTTTTTCCAAAATTTTACACTGTTTAGGGAAAACAAATTAAATATTTAATTACCAATT